GGATTCTTTCAAATCCCACAAGAATGAGAGTAGATGTTTGTATTACTTTGAAAACTATGTTGTATTTTCTGCAGCGAAACGGTCCAACCACCTGTTGGCCGGCCACCTGTGCCTTTTTCCTGCCGCTGCACTCGCGCTTTTCCCTTGACGCAGTTCGTAGATCATGGCACAACGGAATCGGTGTTGTTCAGCCATCGATGATAAAAATGCAGAACACGTGTACGGGTCCTTAATTCTCATGTGCTAGTTGCCCAAACAATATTTTAGAAGCTCACTAAACCCGCAACATTTTGTTTGCATTTTTTTATGAAATTTTGAACGTTCTGGATATTTACAAAGGATTATTTTTGCTAATCAAGTAGTTTGCGACAATTTCGTTGTTTTATGGATTACGTGACGAATATATCTAAACCATCTTTCGCATTTCAGTTGGATCTTTCTGGCGTGCGAGCGTCATGGGAGGCTCTCGGCGATCTAGGCGAGTCTCTAACAAACCTAAAGAGGTTGACGTATCGTGATATGGATAGCGCTTCAGACAAGGTCTGCTGACCATCATTTAGCTTCTCAGTGATAGTTTATCATCCTTTACCGGAACTTCCAGGCTTTCTGGTTCCTTATCAAAGGATGTGGTCGAGGCCTCCACTTTATCGATCTACGCGGGTGTCGCCGATTGCATGGTAGATGTTTCCGATTGTTCGGAGATCGATTGGAGCAGGTATTCTTATTATTCACTCCGGATGGTAAGCTTTCGTGGATAACAGCGCACATGAAGTGATTTCCAGTTATACTTGGATGGATGTGTGCATGTGGACGAGAGGGCAATTGAAGATCTATGCACCTGTGCAGCTGGTCTGAAGGAGCTACGGCTAAATGATTGTTATCAGATCACGGATGAAAATTTAAGGTGAAATTTCGAGCTTCTCCACAGGAAGAACTTAACTGGACGAGTTGGTCGGCTTGGAAGTTTTTTTTTCCGATGTCAAGCATCATGCTCTATGTTAGGATCGTTGACTCTCTTACGCCATTGACATACATAGTTAGTAGAGATTGTGTCGTAAAAAGAGTCCTGAAGTGGGGCAGTGGAGGTTGACTTACTGTTTCTTCTTTTCGAGGTATACTGTATTGTTGAGGTCACCTTGATCGGATCCGTGCCTGTGAAGTGCAAAATCACTTTTAAAGATAGAACCGTTTTGAAGCCATATTCCTTTTTTCATTTTTCAGCTCATCATTNNNATCGAAAATTTTTTAGGGGTATCAGAATCGAAATGAACAGAGCTATAATCTTGTGATGGAGAATGCTAACCCGTGTTGAGCCTGTGAAATTATAATTGGCAAGCTTTTCACACCGAAATGGCACGATTTAGAAGGGTGTCGGCTATACGGGAGTAATGCATCAGAAGAACGGTCGTACTAGTAAGGGACTGTTTCTGTTGAGCTATACATATGTAGTTTTGAGCAAAGCCCCCTTCCCGCTCCCTTTTCATTTGCATTTTCAACGAAGATATCACGATGACGCCTCCTAACCATCATCCATAGCAACAAAATACTGGAAGGAGAGAAAAATAAGCGGGCTGACGAGCAGAAACAGGGGTTGGAATAAGGCCAGAAACACAGGTTGTCTGCCCAGCGGTCTAAGGAAAAACTGAAGCGTATGAATCCCGAAGATTCAATTGTTATTGGATGGCATATTTGCACAAACGAGATTTCCTCACATTTGTCTCTAAAACATTTACTTGAACCCTGCAGTGGATATATTGCAAATTACGAAAGACTCAAGAACAAAGTACGGAAGCACTAGGAACGAATGTAACGGTGTTGAAGGGAGTTTCCTTCTGATCGTTTTCAATGAGTGTACCGTTTGGCATCTACTTGATTTGACAACAAATTAATTATCTTAACCCGATGCATTCTTACCGCGCCTTATTTATAACAATTTGTATAATAGGTATCAAGGGGAATAGAACAAAGGGTACCACGTCAGAATCAGAAGTATGAGCTCGACCAGTGATGCCTCGGAATATTCGGTGTCAATTTCCCCTCCCTATACTTTCGGTTATCATGACGATTGCCATGAGTGCAGAAATTTCGCACGTTAATCCTTTGATATTCCAGTATGATTTCTCGAACGATGTCGGATTTACGGGTGTTCACATTGTGCGGTGACCGTTTTGAGAAACTTTCATCGGCCGGTTTGGCTCATATCAGCAATATGACATCGTTAACAGAGCTGGCGTAAGTACTGTCTATTCAAAAATTTTGTGAATCTTAGATTCACAGCTTGATAACTGGAAGTTCACTCTAGCTGAGTGCAGCAACAAAATTTTGTTTATCAGAACTTTTTTCAGCCTAGATTATAACCCTCTAGTAGACGACAAGTTTCTAATTTCAATATGCGAAGAGCTGAAAAACCTGAAAACGCTGAGTTTGGCCAACGCCGGAACTGATCAAACGTTGACTGCCAAAGGACTCGCAGCCATTGCTCAATTAAAAGCATTGGAGCAGGTAGGGATTACTATTCTTTTTTTCTTGCTCCCTTTGTTCACATATGCACAGTATCGGACTTTCTTGCGCAAAATGCTGCACAGAAAATTCACCGCGAACTTTATTCGAAGGTACAATTCGAGATCCAAATAACGCAATTTTTCACCGGCTGGCGCCATTCTGTGCAAAACGGTAGTTTGTGCCAAATATAAATGTAGTTTGTGATCAGAACGCTGATCCATTCCAACATTTTACTGACCAGGGAAGGATCCCAACTCGAAGTGGCCATTTGAAATAAGACCTATACTGCTAGACGTGTTTTTGGGCGCTGAATTCAAATCCGCTTTCCAAATCTGCCAAGCGATTCTCTGGACGGAGTTATGAGGGTGGTTTTATGTGACATTACATGAGAAAACGTAAATTACATGGAAGCAGCTCACCCCTCAATGGGAGCTTGGTGTAGTGGTAAGCG